TATACAATCCGTACCTGTAGCGCAATCTGCATGCATTACAATCGTTTTATATTCATTATTTATGCCCCGAGATGCACTTTACTCTGTCAGCGAGTTTCTTATGCATTTCCATTTCGTGTGTTACGCACGATTCGGTTTACGTTACGATACGAAGAATGATATCGTATGGAATTAAAACGTGTTTATTTTTATTCCGCATTTGAATATGCCCCGATACCCTCTGTGGCCTTTGCCCAGCAGTGGGACATGTATAGGCTGATACTTTATTTTTATTCCGATCTACGCGAAAGGAGCTTATGGTATCATGAGGTCTTCAATTTTATAAATTATGATAATAAGCAGATGATAAACCAATCCAACCATCTTCTCTATCGAAATTAAGATGTTTCTTTATTTCAATAGCCTCGCGGATCATCCGTGGAAAGAATCAGTGTTCTTTTGCGAGGATTTTCGGCTGATGTAGTGGTTGGGGCGGTCTAAAATATGATCCACAAATTGTCAAACTGCTAGACCTCAAGATAACATAAGTTCCTTTTACGTAGATAGGAATAAAAATAAACAACAAAATAATTGATGGTAGCCGGGGCTAACTTTGACATCAAGACATGTAACAACTTAACTTCTGTCCCGTAACCATGAACGGACCAAGTCGAGAATAACAAAATCATAATAAAAACGCGATAAAATCTGTAAACTAGTTTCATTTAATATGTATAATATTCGCGTAAAATCAAAAATTCAAGATACTAGTTGTGTTATGTTTCAAGATATCTTAACCGTTTTCTGGTAAAAAAGTGCAGTTTGAGTTTCTTCGCGTGTGCTTCTCAGGCCAGTAGCCTTCCTTCTCCGAACTGGTATAGGTAATTTCTCAATCTTTAAGATAGTATAATGCTTCTATATTGAATAAAGATATTTGAATCTGGCACCACAAAACTCTCGGTGCGAGAACAGTTGGTAGTGGTCAACCACCCCACCGGCCGGCGCCAGTCGTATTTGCGTTTACGTAGACCAATTTGCTGATTGTTGGGGTCCGTACGGCAGAGCAAATTGTAGGGGCGCGGAGGATGCCGTGATACCGCGGTTTAATCAGCGGTAATGATGGAGTCTCCGTGCAGCTAACTCGGTCGGAAAGCGCAAAGCACAACAACTTAACGCCCAAATAAAGGACGGGATTAAAATCGGTTCGTTATAAAATAAAATTGTCCCGATGAGTTTCTTTCGCCGATTCTTCTCAGTTTACTTTTCTTTTTTGAACTGGATGGTGTTAGTATTTTCACAATGAATAAATGAGTGTAATGTTCCTATGTCGAATAAAATGATTTGAATTTGAATCACTTGCAGTTTTCGTTTCAGCCGGTCTCCTGCCGTCGCTTTAGTAAACCCATGTTGAGACAGTTATTCAGTGACTTATTCCGACATTTGTATGTAAATGGTCTGTGTTACCCTAATGTATATATCGATGTATTAATGGTTTCATTTTTAACTGAGAAGCCTTTTATTTACTAATGACAAGTTAAAAACAATAATAATTATAACAAATTATGTTCGAAAGCGTGTACCTCAAACCGTTCTCACTGATCATTGTATTCTCAATAACACGGTTGCCTGGAAGAAATCGCTCCTAAGCGATAAGGCCGCCAATTGTGCCTTGCCTTTATGTAATTGTTTGTTACTTTTGTAATTTTGTCTGGAATACAATAAAGCGTATTTCATTCATTCATTCATTTTATTCATTCATTCAAATTCAAAATCAGCAATCGAAAGCGAAATGCCTATTTTCAATCAGACATCTGATGCGTCTTGAGGATATGAATCGATATATTATAGAGATAAATATGAATATTCTGACAATAGTTAATGTTTAATCTATCACCCCTTGTAATAAATTATGTTGAATATAAGGTTACTGAGAAATTCAAATAGAACATTGTCTTAATTGTCTCATTTTCAACTCTTGGCTGCTGGCGACGAGAATTTAACGCGTTAAGGTTAAACGCAATTCTTATGAACTACTTAAATATAGGAGAGCCGTGATAGCTCAGTGTCCGGGCGCTCGCCTTTAATTCAATATATTGATTCAGGTTGCTCGAGTATACTCGAGCAACCTGAGTTCGATCCCCGGTGCCGGCACCAATGAAGTTTTTAACTTTAAGTGCTGACTTATCACGTACTCTGTGGTGAAGGAAAACATCGTGAGGATACCTGCATATTTTCGAAATAATAACAAAAAATATATATTTCGAAGATATGTGAAGTCCACCAATCCGCAGTGGGACCGCGTGGTGGACTATGATACCCTCTGTATAGAGGAGGCCTTTGCCCAGCAGTGGGACATGTATAGGCTGTTACTTTACTTTACTTTACTTTACTTAAATATACTACTACTACTACTTAATTATTTTCAGCAAACAATAGTAACGTAACCTGAACAATGCGTGTAATGTAATCGAGTATTTACTTTACAAAGAAAACATCAACACGAGGTACGAGGCGCAGGGTCCACACGATCGCTGGAAAATGTTGGATACAAAATGGAAAATGAACACTCAACCAGCTACACATTATAGTTATGTGTATAATTATAAAAATATGTAGTAAAGAATTAATGTGAAACGTTAGAAAACTAAAAGTAGGTAACTTATATACTAGTAACTTATATTTAATAATCGTAGAAGGTTTCATTTTATATTGTAGATATGTTCTTGTTGCGTCCTTGAAAGACTGCAACCTGACTGTCTCTGACGTTATCTTAATATATTTTTATTTTGAATTACTGTCTCTACTTTTAATCAATTGTCCGGCATCGTTGGAGAGACATGTTTATTAAGCCGTTATTGCTCGAGCTGAGTATTGTTTTTATACTGCAAGTTAAGAAAAAATAACAAAAATTAAATAAAACTTTAACGTTGTAAATTGAATACATTTTTTTTATATGATGTTTATGGATTATCTTCTTCCATAAATCTGCTCTTAACTAATTATATCACGATGATGTACTAGTGAAAAGGATTTAAATCAAGTAAGATACAATATCCACTTAAAACAATTTATTTTTATGTACAGTGCTCATGCAAAGACATGAAAACGTTAAAACAATCATTTCGCTCGATTAATTACGTTTTCATATGCATTGCCATTATCATAGTCATATTTGCAAATTAATTTGCCGTTTAATATATAACACTAACGCAACTCCTCTGATTTTCAACTGGTCAACTGGTTTACATTAACAATGTCCGTATAACCACATCGCAGTTGGCGATACGTGACGAGTAACGAACGACGTTTACTCACTCCCCCGAGACGTGGGGTTGCGTTTTACGGGAATTAAAAGCGGCACCCAGATCCCATTCGTTATGAACTTCCACCAAATTACCCTTTGCGCTTTCGCACGCCCTAACCAGGTTCGTAACAGGGTAGTTTATCCCATAGCAGAGTGAGGATTATCAATTTCAAACGCGCCCAATAAAAGTCATATTATTAAAATGAAACCCCATTTTTATGAGATTGCATTGAGATAAGTTAATTAATTTTGGCGCTATAGACCCGCGTCTATTGTCGTTTTATTTTTATTTTTTCGTATTCGCAACTTATGTTTTAAAAGGACATCACCGTTAAAACAATATATTAAAATTTTCCCCACAGATAATAAAAACATAGAAATTCCCCAAAGAAATAAAAAAATTCACACGTTTCTCGTATATTAGGAATATAACCTTTTTGCAATTATATTTTATTGATAGTTATTCAAAATATCTACCTATAATAAAAGATTTAGGTTATGCAAGTATAAGCCATTTAAACTATCAAAATGAAAAAATATACAAATCAAATCGATTTCCTTACGCATTGCACACATCTGCCCACCTGGTAGTCACTAGTATAATGGCCGCCAAATTTCCGAACCGAATAATAACAAATGATCTCTCATTCGAACCGCTTTCCCGCCAATTTGGTGTTTAGTGGGATTTATCGCCCTCGTTTCATCAAGTTAACCATGTTGGACATGACTTTATTTCATCTTAGTTGTCGCCGATTGATCACAGTCGAACGTATCCTCAAACTCATTTAGAAAACTTCTTGGTCTAGAATTAGGCCATGGCATATTTATTTTATGATAAACCTTTTGACAATAATCATCGATGTTATATAAGAAAACAACATAAACTTATTTATGTTAGTAATTGGACAAAATTACGATTTGTTTGATTTTCAACACATTATTCATATCCGGTTTCAACTTGGTCACCCGCCTGATTCGACACGCCCTTGTTTCGAGATTAATAGGGACTGATGTTTAGATTTTGGTCTCCATAGCAGCGGGGGTGGAATTGTCAATCTGTCCCGCCAACCCAAGGCGGTTAAATGCCACATCTCATGGGGGACGTTATGTCATCTGGCAACATTGACATTTAAAAGAAAAGATGTTGACTGAAAGGTCAAAAAGCGAAAGAAGATGTTGCGATATCAATAATATGTTTATTTTTAAGTTATTGGCTGTTCTTGTTTAATGTTTACTTTCGCTTTTATTATTATAAATTATTATGAGTTAATAAGTAATAGTAAGTGCGATTAAAAAACGATAAATTACAATTAATGCTTTCACAGCCCTCGTAGAACTGTTTTACAATTAAAACAATATAAAAAAAAATACAAATGAATATTTTTATCGAAAAAAATATTTTGTAAATTTAATTAATTAACAAAAAGGTTAAAATTTTTTTGCAGTCTGTGTTCTCTAAGACTTCTTATATATATTTTATTAGGGATATAAAACAATTTTTGATATATACATCATAGAGACATTGTCAAAATGTCCCGACAAATTTTAAGACAAATATAATGCACATAAATATCAAAAACAGGAATAAATAAATATCAATATGAAAAAATTCAAAGTGGGGGAGTATGTTTCAAAAAAAATCATCCCGATCGTTACTACCAATCAAGCAATGTTTGATAACAACTTTTTTTGTATGAAAAAACGGTTTGAAAGCGAAATGCAGAAAATAGATCAAGAGATAACTAGATTTAGGTAGTTAAACATTTGAACTACACTTTAGAATTTAGATGAATCATCAACAGGGGAACCATTGTCCACTAAAAATTGTGATAAATAAAAAAGACGTTATAAAACTTCAAGATACGTTGACGTATTATTATATTACGTGGTATATTGATACATCTTAAATAAGAAGCAATTGCAAGATGTACATTTCTGCTTAGCACAGAAAATATGCTTTGGACTTTTCCTTTTTTTTTTCTTCCTTATTTTTGAACACCGGAATATGCTTTCTTACCCTCTTTCCAACGATTCCCCGGCTTTGACCGATCCCGTGAATCCCCTTTAGTTATATCATCGGAAGTCGTCATTATCAACTCGTTAATCCAAGCCGTCCAAAGTTTAATATATACCACAATAAATGTAGCATAAACCTCCGTCTTTGCAGCTCCAATCTGACTCATCTTCACAAGGTGGTGCAGAACAATTCTGAGCAGTGCAGTGTTTCGCAGAATCCCACCGTTAAAGAGGATGTGCCGGACGAACAGCAAGTGCTTAACAACAGCCCACTGGTAGAAGGGGACGGTGCCGACAAACGCCTCAAACTTCTGTTCGACCTGAGCCAATTCGACCCTGAGGAGGTTTGTACTTTTGTAGATTTGAGCCTAAAAGATCCAGGGCCGGATTTAGGGGAGGGCAACCGGGGCTACGGCCACGGGGCCTTCACAAAAGAGGGGCACCCACAATAGAGACTTCAGATTCAAAATCAAATTCAGACCAGTAAACACTTAAATAACTTTTCCTTTCAAATGTTTTATTCGCGTTTTACCTCTACCTACAGTACTTAGTACAAATATGATTACATTAAATATTAACAGAAAGCAATGGAAAATAATTTGAGGCCAAGGGGCCTCCACTCCTTTGTGTCCCCGAGGCATCCAGACCTCTAAATCTGGCCCTGATTAAAGACCCAATTTATAAGCGACTATTAAGATAAATAGAACATTAGCATTAAGAATATATATTATAATATCTAATATACAAAAATATTTCAATAACAAAGGCGACATCTCATTCGAATTATTGACGTAAAACTTGATATAAAGCAGTTTGTGTGCTATATTGTGGGACATAACAATAGATGCGCCAAGCATTGCTTAAAATGCGAAAAAACAAAGTATATAAAATACATTGAGATTTTCTTTTACGTCGCAATCAGCCGTTTAGCTTAGTGGTTACGTCTGGCTGCGATTCCGGAAAAATGCTTTTACACAATTTATTGAAATGTTGCGATCTAGTCGTTATTAGGTGAAAGTAATTACCAAAATATTGTTCTTAGGTGAAAGTGACTATACTAGAGGACATCCTTTTGGTAGAAGCTTCCCACGTGGAGAAGACGTCAACCTGCACTATTTATAGGGAGTACGCAAGGCAAGTGCAACTTCCCAAGGGCCTAAACCCTGATACCGTAACTTCGGCACTATCTCGAGATGGGGTCCTCACCGTGCAGGCGCCTCTGGGTGCACCGGAAAGAAACAAGAAGGCCAAAATAAAAGATAGAAATGGAAAGGTCCACATGAGTGACGATTCTGAAAATAGCAATTGCAAAGACTTACTCCACGGAATTTAAACACGCGCGAACAAGTTGTTGGAGAGACAATTTCGTAAGATTGAAAATATTTACCGCCTATTGGAATAATAAATCAACCTGTCTGTGATTTTTTCTTTTGACACCTTAAGAAATAGCATTATCGATATCAGCATGCTGCTACATCACGTAGGCTATAAGCAAATCTATTGATGCATAAATATAACAAATAGGCAGCTCTGCGGGCAAAGGGATGACAACTCACAATATGGTTTCGTGAGATGTTCGAGTGATTGAGTATTTTAACAGTTTTTAATTCTATTAAAAAAAAAATATGAAAATCACTCAGCGCATAATTTAAATAACTGCTTTCTATATCTATATGTTTCGTTTCTTAATGATTTAAAGGAACTTTGGTGCTTTTGAAACGTTTTGCATAAGGAGTTTGAAAATATCCTGACAGATATTTTGATAACTTTTTCCTGAAGATAGTTTGAACGTGTTTGCTTCCTAAAATATTTGTACCTTAAGATATTTTAAGTTGCCGTTACACATCACTACTTAGGCATGCATCGATTTTAGAAATCCACTGGATAATCGAGTCGTATGAAACTTTGGCACTGCCCAGTGGAAATTGGCGCAATTACACGAGTGCGCGGCCTCTTCTGGGAAGCGGGCAGGCCCGGTTGCCATGACGACGCGCCGCATCAACACCACACAGACACACACGTGTGAAAATCCAGGTGACCTGAAAAAGCTGGGGACGCACAGAGCCCATCGTTTTCTTTACGCTTAACGTATGTCTAACGAGTTACTGACGTCAATTCGCGTGGAATTGTTGCAGAAGGAGCTTGAACTGAAATATAAAGCCTGACCCAATAAGTTGCGTTTTGAAATTGAATTCATCGTCATTTAGTGTTAGTCTTACTCTAACATCTCTAAAAATAACAAATTCTGTCTTGTGTTGAATTATGCAGTTTTTAACAGCAACATAGAGAAATTTTTTTCCAGCTCTTTTAAAATTTCATGATAGTTTCAACAAACTGAACAGGGTACGGGGTATATGTCACTTTGTTTTCATAAACCCTTATTTTTGCAAAATTGTTTGTCCCCCTACACAACATCTTGAAGCGGTTGGAACTTCACTGCGGAAAGAAATAGTAATAAACTGGATTGACATAGAAGTTTTCTTCGCATGCCTAAATTTTATATTTTTCGAAGTAATGGCGCGGATATCAGTCCGTTTTACGTATATATTCTTTATCGATGTTCCGCGTGTGTCGAAAGCTTTAGCATCACAGCATTGATGTGTGCGTTGGCTGTTTATCTGGCGGGGCCACGTCACCCGATGCTATACGGTGATACCGCAGCCCGTAATTACATGGACAGAGTCCTTGGATCGTCTAGTAATAGGTCCCTGATGTCAGTCGTGATGTAGACCAGTCAGCTTTGCTATCTCTTATATATACCCCTTTTGTCGGATTTTTATTGAAAGACGTTTGAGTTTTTGGGAGTAGTTTCCGTGATTTCTATCCACCATCTTTCTAAATCAGGCATTCTGCTACATCTTTCCCAGAAACCATTTACAAGAATGGTAAACGGAATTTGACATAACCGTGATATTGGTCCAAAGTGACCGATACTCCCAAATTGTTAAGTTCAGCTTATGTTTTAATTTTTTTCTTTGTAATTAAAAACTTGACCAAATACTTTTGCACAATGCAAGGAGAAATACACGCAGTATGGCTGTTATTTGAGGATGCCTGATCGCTGATCGGACTAGGTTGAAATAACTGCCTTAATTTGGTCATCTTAATGTTTCCTAACAGTCTCTTCCCGTTGCAGTGTAGCAAGCAATTAATATACATAACAGATTGCTTTTCAGTAATATACTCCCTAATTAATATTACATCTCGAGTTTGGTTTGCCAAATTCTTTTGGCGATTTCAGGACTGAAGTCTATGTGATGGAATTGGAACGGTCAAGAAAATATAAAAATATGAACCCACTTTGCTGGCAATATTTCTAATAAATTGTATCAGAATAAAGTAAATTAATTTTAATTTATTCTTTGCAATGGCGTATATCAAATCCATCTTCCATAAATTATCCAATCCAATGCGAATTGTTAATAACAAACCCAAAAAATATACACAATCAAAACGGTCGCGTCGAAAGGTGTCGAGTTAGCGGGATAATCGATTTTTTTTCCACACCGACCACCTGTAGTAGGCGCGTACGGCCGGAGGGGTGCCCGCAACGGCACATGTTTACTTTGACCTTTGTTAACTCGTCGATAATCAGCGCAACCCTAGCGTCAGAGGCGCGCCGATTTGGCGGGAAAAGTGACAACGTATTTTTATCTTTATATTTCCATCCGTAACATTATTGCGGCAAATGACACTAATTTGACGCCTCCGCAAGCGGCTTGTTCTACACGCTGAGATAATTAACAAAATTCATATAATATCACCTTTATAACCGACTATACCCAAACATAGAAACTAAATTTTAATTATATTTGATAAAAAAATATCTAAATTTTACTCTAAAATAATGTAACATACAATGTTTCATAATTGACAAAACATTTAGGATAACTTCAGTTTGTTTAGAATTTTTTATGTTATCGGTTAACTTTTTACAAATTATCGTTAATATTTACACTAGGGACCTACTCGTTTCATCAGTACCGTTTACTACACATAAATTATGTAAAATTATAACTACACAAAGCCTAATTTTATATAAAGCTAACGAACCAGTTGCTAGGTGCTATTTGGTAATCTAATTTCATTCGTAATGTCCGTGTAAACTATTATTGTATATTAATCTATTCAGGCATAATATTTCACAACACAATTCTATTTGACGTACAACGTGTGAGAATCATATTGAAGTAGAGAAATCTTATAATAAATTGTACCGAATACAAAATACAAACTAAGAGAAATTTCGCAATCTGCGATTTTATGTGTATCAGATTATTTATGGCCGATAATTACTTAATTTTTCGTTCCGTTTAAAAACGTGCTTAAATTTGAATCTGCGGTGTGATAGAAACAAGACTAAAAGGAGATATTTTATTGGGGCACCTGTAAAAAAGCGGTGGTTAATCACCATGGCGACCGCGTGTCCAACTCGCCCCAGGAAGGGTTCCCCGTCCCGGAAATGAGGTTCGATTCCTCCCCTGCGCCGGAAGTGCGTAGATGGGGGATACCAGACGGGTGTTGTGACCATCTTACGCAATCGTAACGAATTCTAGAATGAAATAGTCGAAGCGTGTATATTTGACCACGTGAATGTTTCTCGAGTCGTATAATTGACACAAACAAATAGAATGGGAAAATATGTAGATAAGTTTCTCGCGCTGACATTATGAATGGAATCTGTTGTGCGTGTATTTGTCTCGTTGCGAATGTGCGAAATTTAATGTAATTTAAAATTAAGACACGTGTAACTATATTTAAGCATAATACTTGATATCACTAAAATCATTTTATTTTGTAGATAACACAATTGGTAATGGAGTCACAGTCAAAGTCAAAATGAAAGTAATAAGAAGTAAGGTAGAACAGCCTACATATATCCCATTAGTGGGCAAAGGTCTCCTCTGTACAGTGTATAAGCGAGTAGTCGACTTTGCGAACGCACTGCAGATTAGAAGTCTTCACGTACCTATCTTAGAAATATTTTTGTGAAAAGTTGTTAAGCGAGCAGGCGGTTCACCTGATGTTAAGTGAATACCGATGGCCATAGACATCTGCTACACAAGAGAGTTTGCAGATGCGTTGACAACCTCTTTGATAATTGCGCTCCTGCTACCTCACTCACCGGAAGAAACGCGAAAATGCTATACTTCCATTTCACGACGTTCTTCTGCGATATCGTGGTATTTACCCGGACGAGCCTGGCCATTCGAGCAACAGCCGAGGTTGCTGCGTGGCCCTACCACAGTTAAAACTCATTGTTTTTAAACGGTTTTATTTAGCTCGACCCGTACGGAATTTATTTGTTTATTTATTTGGGTCTAAATTAGAAATTGAAATTTAAGCACCTTGCCGTTGTCAGATTGATCTGAAATTTGGTACACACATTTAATTTAGATGACAATACAATATTAACAAAAAAAAAACAAAATGACTTAAAAGTTTTTTAAAGTAATTATAATTTATTGTTATTTTTATTTCGAAAATATGCAGGTTTCCTCGCGAATTTTCCTTTCACCACCACCACAGCATGTGAGTCAACGCTTAAAATTACAATGAACAATTTTATTAGTCCCGGCAAGGGGTTTGAACTCGGGTTGCTCTAGCGTTTGAAGTAAAAGCGGACGCCCGGACACTGAACTATCACGGCTTGCTTTTGGTTAGAGAAGGGAGCGAATGTTTGTAACATAAACATCAAAAAGCGTCGTGGCGTTACAGCGTGTTGCCAACCATCAAGATTGCAGGTCCTTATTACCTCTTCACATACAACGTGAAGATAAACATTTCCGCTTATATTCTAGGGGTTAACGGAGGGCTTGTTTTCCATCACGAGTGGTGGCTGTTTAATAATAGAAACGACATGTCGTCAATTCTTTCGCGTTATGTTTAATAAATGGCACGCGCGTTCGCATAACATTTAAAGGCCATTCGATATGTTATTATTAAATACAGTCGTTGTGTCGACCAATCGTTTACTTTTACCGGGCGTAGGTGTATTTCGCGTTCTTTTTTCCACGCAGGTACTTTATAAAACACAAATACAAAAAAGGGCGAAAGGGAAAATGCTACTAAGCTAGGGCGTTTACCATCCGATATTATGTCTACAGTTACCATCAGATGAGACAGTCGTCAGATATTTTTTGTCATTGGTCAGGTTTTGGCTGAGAAAAGATGACGATAAACAAGCATTTTAGAGAAAAAAGTATGTACATAGACAACAAGGAGCATAAAATTATTTTTCACAAATAAATTATATCCTTTGTTACTCAAGAATGAAGTAGGTGCGCAGGATTCAAAAAACATCATAATCCACAAGTTACCCATTAGTATAACGAACAAAACCTCTTTTCAATATTAGTACAGACGAAAGCTTTCACTTGGCGAATTAAGAGGACACCTAGCGGCATACCAATAGTCGGAACTTCGAACATTGCGTAATTATTCCGTATTATAATGACCATCGCCGACACAATTGACGGATGTATGCAACGCAACTCTAAGTCACGATGGCACAGTTAAGCAACTGAAGAACAAACAAAATCAACTATTTATATGCCCAATGGGCGCCGGCGTGGCTAAGGGTGTGTTACACCAGTGTTTTTTTTCAACCTTGACAGTTAAAACTTCGAACGGGCGTTCTATTTTTAAATTTGTCGTTTGTTAGGTAAATATGTCAACTTCAAATTTAAAAAGAACGCCTCGAATTCTCCTCGAAATTATTATATAATAAACTAGCGACCCGCAGCTTTTTACATATTGAACTAAAAATCCTGGTGCGAATTCTAGATAGTAATTATGACAGCACTGTAGTCTCCGGCTCATAGAATAGAGCTAAGGTGTCCCCTGACTGTCGTAAAAAGCGACTAAAAGGGGACACGGATTGGTGCAAGACGAAACAGTCGAGCCTTTAAAGAGGGTGAAGGATTCGGGAAAGGTTTAGCCTTCTCCGAGGCGTGCTGAGGGAGTACTGAGGGACATCGATGCGTTCCGTAGGAGATCTTGGAGTCCCTCCAAACGTAAAAAGAAGGCGGCCACCGGGAGGGTTTTAATTGGTACGAACCGCACATAATCCAATCATGTCATG